GAACAACAGATTGTCGTCTAAATTCGCCAACCCAGCGACTTGGGATGCGTCATCCTCCGACTCTGACCTCCACCACTTCAGCTTCTTCGTATTGCTGCCGGAATCATTGCCGGAAAAAGGCCGCTTCATCGTGGAAAATGCGAATCTAGCACATGGGAATTGGGAAATTTGTTGGTGGGTTTGGTTTGGTAATGGTTCGATTCGAGTACTGAACGAGGAACATTGGACATGAAATTTTTTTGGGGGAGTGGTGAAAGAAATCAAATAGGAATGGGAGAAGTTGGTAAAGTGATGCAAATTGTCTGAAAAAGTTTGGAAGACGACAAATTTGGAATTGAATGCGCTTCCAACCTCTAACGAAAAGACCGTTTCCACCTTTATTTGTCAAAAATTAAAATAAATAAATGAAAGAAATCTCCCCATTTCGTGTGCCTTGCGTGAAGGAACGGCTTAACTTATTCGACAATATACGCCATTTTTTAAATTAATATGTCTGTCGGACAATGCCAATCGTCATCTTCATTCTTTACCTTATATTTGTTCAAGTAATAGTTATAATTACTTCCATTTTTTTCATTTTTTCCCACTAAAGCTTATCAATTTGAATACAAATTTTTTTATTTTAAATGCTAAAGTTCAATGAATTCTAAGAAAAATAGTTGATGACTCATGTACTTTGAAATACGATTAACTTTTAAGTATTAATGTTGAAGTCTACAAAGGAGAGCTACTAAAGTGAGAGAGATGTAAAGGAAGACCTTATATTACACGCTCTTTAACCAGTATATGTGGCTCCAATATATGTTTAGATCAGCATGGTGAGGTCATATCGTTAATAATTAATAGTCAAAATTTTGACACAAAGTAAAGTGATTTTTTTTTTTTTAGTTTAGGAATTAAGTAGATATTTTTAAAATTTAAAAAGACAAGTTTATAAATTAAAATAGCCTTTTAAAAGTTAAAATAATAAACTGAAGCCAAAGTGATGGTAAGCCATAAGTAATATTTGTTTAGAAAATTAAGATAGGGTGTCAAAATGCTACAATATTTTATTTAAAAAATTGTTTCTAAATATTGTTAAAAAACAGAAACAAAATTTTACTTTACGTACTATTACCGAGTAACCCCTTACCAAATATGTTTAACTTTAAAATGGAAAATAAGTTCTTTAAAGTTATACCGAAATGTTACTTTAATAATACAGATTACAAAATAAAGAAATTTTTTATGTACAAAATTCACATTTTTCAACTTGATGATTATGCATCAAATCAACCACTAAAAAAAAGCATCAACCAAAAAGAATTTGTCATATTGATTCAAGACAATATTTTCGAGAAGCACAATTGAGAATGACGCCATCAGGAGCTGACTAACTCGTCTTTTACAAAAAGTTATTTGGAGTTATCCTAAAATACAATCCAATATAATTTTAAATCATTTAACAATCAATTTATCAAAAATAAATTATTTTACAAATTTTCTCCTTACATTATCTAATAAAATAATAGAATAGCTACATCCTATTTCCACCTAAAAGCGCGTATTCCAAATTACGTAGTTGGTCTTAAAAAGTTATCCTAATTTTTTCTTCCAAGTTCCCTTGAGTTAATTTAATTTTTTATACTATTTTTTATTTTTAATAATTTAGCAAAGAATTCAAAATTTTTTTAAATAAAAGTACAAATATACTAAAGAAATTATTAAAAACAAACATAATTTTAAAAAATAAAAGGATTATCAAATAAAAATTATTAAAAACAAATATAATTTTAAAAAATAAAAAGATTATCAAATAAGGATTTAATGTTTAGGTTTCAGCATTTTTGTACATAACTTGGATTTTTGTTGGTTGGTGTTCTATGATTTGTTTTATTACTATTTTTTTAGTACAATAAATTGGAGGTATGAGATCTAAACCTCCGATTTAAAGAAAAAAAAAAGTAAGTGTAACTTATCACTGATATATATTCACCTTGGTTTGTAAGGATTTATTATTATTTTTTAAACGGATTTATTGGTTGCTTTATGGGCAATTTTCATACATATTTTTTAATATGCATTAATTGTAATGTTTATTAAAATTTAATCTAAAAGGATGAAATTAAAAGTTCAAATTGAAGGCTATTAGAAATTCTAAGTCAACTTATTGTTATATTTGTCGAATAAGAATATTTATAAAATTTAGGAGAAATTTCATTCAGCTCTCAACAAACCAATAACAAATGTAAAAAGATTTTTTTTAAGATTAATTAATTTAATAAATCAATCAATTAAAACTATTTTTTTTGTTTTGGTGAAAAAATATAAAGAGCCACTCGAGCAATAGCCAATATTGTGTCATAATGACTGAGGTTCTTGCCAGAAAAATCCTCACATCAATCAACTTTTAGAAAAACACTCTGTTCTAATAAATCCAACCCAACTCAATCTATTATCTTGATTAAAAGAGATAAAATCTGTCAAAGCGAGTATAGTACAACGATAATTGTCAATATAAACATGGCTCACATAGACACTATAATTTTAGGTTCAAGGTTCAACTCTCCGTATGGTTACGTGTTCTATTTCACTCCTCGTTCGACTCTAGCTCTGTGAAAAATTAAACCCCTAAAAACTCAAATTAACAAAGAACAAAATGCTAATTGCATTTTTATCTACCTTTCCTTCTCCCAACTATTTTTACAACATTAGTAAACAAATAATCCTCTTAGATAAATGCACTAGATGTCGTAAAATTAATCCCTGTATTTATTTAGCATGAAAAAATGTATAGATAATTAAACATATAAGATTTTTTTATTTCAAAATATAAGGTGGAGATTCCAACCTCTAACATTTTTGTCGTAGGCATTGTTGTAATAATGTCTTTTACTCGTATATGCACAAGCCCAATATTGGCTACTTTGCTCATAAGTGTGATTTAAGTAAAAAATTTTGTTTTATTATTTAATTAATTAATTTCTTTTAGTACAACACGTATTGGTGGAGTTCTAAGTCATAATCTAGAAATATATACCAATTAATTTTCAAAAGTTACTTTTTACCTTTTGTACTCCTTAATCTTTTGATAGCTAAAAGTCCGCCTAAATTCTATAAATATTTCTTATTCAACACATATAACTTCCTTCTATTTATTTATTTTTTTCTTTTGCAAAAATGTTCAATTTGTACTTCTAGACTTAACAAGTTTCAATTTCATTCTTTACCCGAACTTTTAATAAATATTGCAATTTTTTTAGTCTAATATATGGGGACGAGATTTAAACTCACGATCTTTTGATCGAAAATAATTGCTTACCGAGCTATGTTCAAATTGACAACTAATGTTACAATTAATAGATCTTAAAATTTTTTTGAATATTTCCCATAAATCAACAATAAATAATATAATATGAAAGGTAAACAACACTCAGAATTGTTAATTAGAGCATAGATCAATTGATTAGAGTACATACCTCTAATTAATAGGTTGTAAATTCAAACGTTCATCTTCAACTGTTGTTGCACAGTTGCACTCAAAATGATGTCAAAGAAATGCTCAAACCCAATTGTTAAAGCTTCCTTTGATAACTATTTTGTTTTTGAAAACTATTTTTGTTTTCTCGTAATTTGTTTGGTATATATGTTTTCACTTTTCTTTTAAACAAAAATTAAATTTAGTTAAAAATTGAATTTCTTTAACTAAAATTTTAAAATTAAAACAAGTTTTTTAAAACTTTTTTCCTCCAAAACTCGACTTAAATGTGAAATTATTTTTAAAAACTAGATAACGAAAATATATAAACACGTGTAAAAATATGTACAAGTACTGTTTATAAACCTAATTAACTTTAAAAAATAGAATGGTTATCGAAGTTAAAATACCCAAACTCGGCCACAAAATGAAAGATATATAAAAGACTCAAACTTATAACAACATATCCAAATCCAACTATTTAAAATCATCCAACACAATTAAGAGGACCAATACATGCAAATATACTATCTTTCCACTATAAAAATGTTTATAACTAATCACAAATATTAAAAAAAAACTAATTGTGGATAATAATTGCACAACTTATTAACATGATTCAACGGTAATTGNAACTTGTGGGGTGGAGAATCGAACAAACAACTTTTTAATTGACATCTATATCAATTATCATTGAACTACACCACATGTATTCATGGACCATTTAAATATTGTTTGTTTGGTTAATTAATCATAGAACAAAGAAATGATATAATTGGGTTGGTGTGGAGTCGGCAGTATTGGCAATGGGCAAGGACAAAGAGTACAAATTATAGGACATGAACTTCTCCATCATCGTCTATATTCATACCATTGCGCACTAAAATTTTAATTTCCTAAATTATCTCTATCTTATCTTATCAATTCAATAATTGATATCGTATTATTTTAATTTCTAGAAATTTGTAAAAGAGAATATACTTAATTTTCTATATTAGTATCTCCCTCGAATCAGAGGAGTGCATGATAGAATGCATTTGGTTGGTAACATGAAAACAAGAGATTCAATAAATAAATAATTGTATTCTTTTTACGTGTTTTCAATTCTGTATTTGATAGCCGATTTGGAAATTGAATCTCAATTTAAAAAATTGTTTCAGGTGTATTTAGTATATCTTTGTGACTAAATATTTGGTTCAATCTAAAATATTATTAATCAATTTATTAACCTATCTACTCTAAATTTTATATATTATTTTTCAATATTATATAATTTATAATATATTAAATTTTACCTATTTTATTTTTAATAAAAATTAAATGATTTGTATAGCATGAAATAGTATATTTATCAAAAAAAAATTTATTCGTTTAATATAATTATACCTCTTAAAATTTTAAACTCAAGATTTGAAAAAAGTTGAAATATAATAATTTTCACTATTTGGATTACAAAATCTAAAAACGGTCCATTTATTAAATTTTTATGATTTTTAAATAGAAAGTTAACAAACGTGACTTGTTGGCGAGGGAATGGAGCCGAAGTTTTGACATAAAAATCGATTTTTTTTTCCCCTTAAAGAATGACGAAGGTAATAAATGAGATGAATCGGAAAATTCTTTAGTTAAAAAAAAAAAGTAATCAGAGATATGAAATTTTCTTTATCTAATCATTAACCTTTTTAATTCATTCCCCTCTTGGCCTCTCCCAAGTACCAAGTTCCAAAAATATATATTTTCTAGCATAAAGAGCAAATTTTATTTATTTATCTAATGAAATTTCTATTTCTCAAAACCTAGTACAAAAATGGGTAACCAAAAGCTGGTTTGGTAATCTTCTTATTTTTTGTTTCTTTTTTTTTTTACTTTGGAAAATATAAGAGTTTTCATTTTAAAAATTGTCTAAAATTTTAGAAATAATAAAATTAAGTATCTTTTTTGTTTCATGTTTTCAAATTTTTCCAAACATAAAAGTATTTTTTTTCTTATAAAATACATAATAAATATTGAAAAAAATAAAATATAGCGTAAAAATTTAAATATTTTATTTTAAAAATTAATTTTCATATAAAACTTATATTTTTTAATGCCAAAATTTTAAACAACAATAAACTAGAAAAAGTTACCATCTTTTTTTTTTAATTAAAAACCCAAAAAATAAAAAACAATCACAAAAGGTAATTCTATTGTTTTGTATTGATACAGAGGAACAAGAATATCATCAAATGAGTCAAATAATAATACTTATTATTATTTTTTTTTGTTGAGTTCAATATGTGTGGGGTGGAAATCTTACAACTTCTTGATCTATTGATATGTCAATCACAAATTGAGTTAGTTTCGCTGCCAAATAACTGGATTGCTTTAATTACAAACGAAATGTAAAACAAAAACGAAAAACGAAAAAATTTATACCAAGACAACTCCAAATTAATCATTCCATTAACACCATATCTTTTTGCAGTGGATCATCAGCTCAAATGGAGTTTAAGCGGCAAAAAAAGAAAGGAAAAAAAAATCCAGCATTTGGCCAGCCTTAGCCAATCATTCGATGCATAAACACAAGCTAAATATTCCAGCACTTGACTTCTCCTTCCATATATTTTCATCACTGACCACTTTATGATATCTCCATGTTATTTCCAGATCTTCAAAAAGTGTAATCAATCCAACTCCTCAAACAAATTAACGGCCTAATTACACGAAACTTCCATAAGATGATGAACCAACCCCACTCCCTAAACTTCAATTTCATCTCCAAAGTCCTTCATAAAATATAATGCAAAATACAAAAAGACACAACCGCGTGCCACCCTGCAGATCAGATATTGATGATACATTTTGAATAAGCTGTAAAAGCGTGTAATCTTTGGTTTTTGGGGCGGTGACCCTGCAAATTAAGGGCTCTGCCTCACCAATTTCTTCCCTTTTTTTTTGTTTTCCTCTTCTAGTGTGAACAACAGGGGTTTGAGTTTCCTCCAAGTCAATGTTCCCACAGCAGTCAAAGAAGTAGGTAAATTTAGATATATAAACTACACCACCGCCCCTGGTGATTTGGTGAAAAGCACTTTTGGTGGTTGTATTGTATGCAATATATAAAAGGCCAACTTCCCAAGTCCCTTTCATTTGCTAACACGCTTTGCTGAGAAAATTGGTGGTCTCAGATTCATATCCAAGGAATATAGGATGATGAAGCGCGGCTGTTTTGGAGTTGTTGCTGTGATCTTGATAATGTTGGGAATGGTGTTTGTTCATGTGGATTGCAGGCTGCTCCGATCGACGGTGGAGGCTCTCCCGACGGCCGGAATTGGACGGGGGAGAGTTATCGCCGTTCGTCGGAAGGTTGGCGGTGGTCGGAACGGCCCCGGGAGCTGGGCATTCAAGCATGCTTCTGGGCCTAGTAGGAGAGGCCCTGGACACTAGCTGAAGAAACTTCTGAATGAATTTGTGAAATTTGGTTTGTACGAGGAAATGAGGATTCTTTTCTTCTTTTTTTTTTTTTTTCACTTTTCAAATGTTTTATAGACTTCACAATTTTGGAGAGATCAGACATTATTTGAAGTTTGAACTCTGCCCATGCAAATAGTACTTGGCTTTGTATTGTATTCTTGAGATCAAAATGTATAAATTTTTACGTTAAAACTGTGAGTTGGCATCCTCAGAGCCATCAAATTACGTATTTCGATCTTTTGTTCTTACTGCTCTCAAGTAATCTGGAAATATGCGGGTCAGAAATACATATTCTGGGATGTCAGTTTACCAGCTTTCAAACTAACAAGATGTACTGGGTTTGTGTTTGCTAAAGCAATTAAAATCCAGTATCCTTCCAAAACAAAGGTCGCAATTATTTAACTAGACTAGTGAGGTAAAAATTCCAACGCTCAAGTTGGTTATCAAAAATGAATTATGCATAATGTCGAGGAGTCGTTGACAATTGGTTTGAGTTAAGTGAAGAGTGATAGGCTTAGAGAAAGTTCGATCGCGCTCCTGAGCCAATTGAGCAGCTACAACTGTCAGTTCCATGCAGGTTCAAAATCAATCTGTCTTTTTTCAAAATACAGTTTTCAAATTATCTCTAAAGTATGAAATCACCAACAACATTGTTCTAGCGAGAGCAAGCTTTAGAGTTTAACCAACACTGTTTTGCATCTCCATTACACAAGCAAATCGAAGGCAAAAGAGAGAAAAAGAATCACCCTTAGAAGAACTTCGTCAGTTTATCAACATCTGATCTAAACTTCTAAAAGTTGCCAATTTTCAGAAACAACTTTGGGCTTCTTAATTAACCCAATATATCTTCTTCTAAGATCAGAATGATTAGGCAATAATCCCATTACAGTTTAAGCGATATTAGAACAAGCCCATCGTTCAAAAGTTGGGTATTTTCTAGAACCCTCTTGCACATCATACAGATTAAAGAGAGAGCTCAAGACAAAACATTCTAACTAGTAACTATCCTATGGATTCCAATTCAAACACACAGATAAACAAACCAACAAGAAGATTGAAGCCATACACATACTAGAATATGCTCATCAGAACAGATATCTCCAAACTTCCACTTTTCATTACATTCAAGAAGAGGCCACAATGGGAAAGAAAGACATTATGGAATTCCAATTCCCAGGCATTTTTGTGGAGAAAACAAACAATAATTATCACATCCTGTGACTGTGAGCGAAATTCTCCAATAAAAGAGCCTCGAAACAGGGTAACAAATAACAATACCCCCAAAGCCAATTGTAAACTGTAATAACATTAAAAGCCAAAAACCCTACAATTCAAATTCAAGATTCAATTTTCAAAAGTTGGGGTTTCCTCACTGGGCGCAACGGGCGGCGTTGGGGCCTCCGACTCCCCATTCTCCGCCGGAGCCACCGGAATGGCTCTACCCTTCACCGTCTCCAGCATACGCCTACTGATCTCCTTGGAGTAGACCTGGAGAATCTCGATGCCGTCGTCCTCGGTGGCGGGAGAGACACCGGCGGCGAGATACGCCTCCTCCTCGATAAGCCTTGCGGCGGCGGCGGCCTCATCCGGCGGGATGGTGCCGTAACGCTTGGAGAGAATGGAAGGGGTGGAAAGCGTTTCAATCAGACGGCTGATGACGGCGTCGCGAGTGCGCTGCGTTGGGGGCCATATGCTGAATTTGGTACCGAAGGGCTTGGGCGATTCAGTGGGTTCTTTAGGCTCTGCTTCCGGCGGCGGAGACGAGGCAGTGATCTGTGGCTCGGACATGTCGGTGGAAGGAGGAAGAGGGGGAAATTGAAAACGAGATCTGAATTAAATATGGAAGAATGGGATCGGTTACAATTGGGGGGTTTATTTGTAGGCAAAGTTAAAATGACGGATCAACTTCCTACTTCTAGAATCAAACAGGATGTGTGGTGACGATCAGAAAATAATGTTTCGACTCCAAATCTTTGTTTTAATTTATTTTCTTTTCTACTTTTTCGTCAGGGATGTGGGATTAAACTTTAATCATAAAATGTTTTAACCCCTAAGCTATATGGCTCTTTAGTTTAAAAGATGATGGGATAACTGAACTTTTAAATATAATAAAAAAATAAATAATTTACGTTCAAATTCAAGAAATTCTAATATATTTTTCTCTTCCACCTAAAAATCTAGGTACCCAAATTAATGAAATTCTCTCTCTCTCCTTGCTTCCATTGTACCCCCAACCACCGCATCACCTACAGAACTCGTCGGAAATCCATCGACGACTGTCGGCGCAAGCAGGTTCAAATAATTTTAAATTATATCATGAGTAAGTAATATCTTTCGGAAAAAAATGGTTTTAAAATTTAATTACTGTTATAATGAAATATTTGTTGCTTCACCAAAGCCATTATTATTATTTTCCTGGTTGGTTACTATTATTGTGATAATGCACAGGAAATTATTCTATTAATGTATGAGACAACTACATGGCCTACTTACGTTTCAAATGTAGCAGCAATTGGGGAAAGTTAATATTTTTGCCCAAAAACCTTACACAATTTAAGCAATGTAGTTGAGAAGGTTAAATTTAAATTTTATTACCTTGAATAGTGAATTTAAATAAAACCATAAAATTAATATCCTCTATTAATTAAGTTTTGAAAATGTATGAATTTGGAGATACATTTTGATGAAACCTAAAAGCAACCCCATACAGCAGTAACAAAGATTATTTACTATAATAAAAAGAATGTATAAATTTAATATATGGGAGGGGCAGAAGAGGAAGATTAGAAAGCAATCGGTTGACGGCAACTAAAATGAAAAAGCACAGAGTTTGCTTCTAAAATGGTAAAAAAAAAATGACAACGACAACTCTCTCGTAGGAAAATGACAGTACAGAAATTTAATTCTCAACCTTAAAGCAACGACAAAAACAATGCCAACTAGCATTAACAAATGTTGCCGCTCCTCTCAACAAAACAAGTCTTTGATTTTAAAATAATTTAATTGTGAAGGGATTCTTCCAATTAACTTTGCTTCAATCTTAAAAATTCACAAACACATACTTCTTGCAAAATATTTTACTCCAATGGATGGACCAAAATCTTAATCCAATCCCGTCAATCTTCCATTATTTATTATTAACTTTTTTAGTACAACAATCTTCAGATATGAGGAATCCAATCTCCAATCTCAAGAGAAGGAGTAAATGTCAATTACTAATTACCGTTGGTTATGATCATGTTGACCGGTCCATTCTCCATTAATACAAATAATCTCATTTTTTTCATTCTTGTATGATATAAGGACCGAAGATTTGAACTCGCAATTTTTTAATAAAGCTTCAATTAGCGACTTTTTAAATGAAGGAAAAAACTTTCATTTATTTTTCTTTTAGTCTATGGTGGGTAGGTTCGTTGTCTGGGTGAGGCAGTAAGATTTTTAAATCAATCAAGCATATAGTTGAAGTAGATATTTTACGTTAAAAAAGACATTAACTTATACCTTTGAAAAAAACAATAAAAAAATAAAAGATTAAAAAAAAAACTTATGGAGAATAACGTTTTTTAATGGGAAAAACAATTTTTATTTAAAACATTAAAAGCAAAATTTGGAAAATAATATGTATTTCAAGATCCAACTATGAGACTTTTTTTTAGTTTTACTAAAATTTTGAACACATTTTTTAAATGAATTACACAATTAAAAAAAATTGATATGAAAATTCATAGGATATTAAGGCCTCATTTGATAACTATCACATTTTTGTTTCTTGTTTCTTATTGTGTAGTAAAGAGAAATAGAACTCTTAATAAAAATATTTGATAACTATTTATTTATCGTTGTTTGTTCTTTCCGTTTTATTGAGAAAAGAAACACAAAAAAAAGATTATAATTTGATAGGTGAAGATGCTAAGTGATAACCATTTTATCTATTCTTCTTTTTCTAAATTTTATATGAAAAATAACTTTTTAAATTAAATATTAAAAAAAATTATGTTTGGTTCATTTTGTTAAAATTTTATTATGCATTTTAAAAGTCAGAAAATGGGAACGGAAAACATAATTTGATTGTTTCCAAAATCTCTACATAACTTTGAAAAACATTAGTGAGAAACAAAAAACATAAAAACTGTTATCAAATATTTGTGTTTCTAAAAAATAAAAAATAAGAAACAAACAACATAAATGTTAACCGGGTAATTATGGACTATCATTCCATCCCATGGTTGTAAAGAAAATAAAAACCCTCCTTAATAACAAATATGTTAACAGACAATCACAACTTTTAAAAACAAAATAATAATAATATTAAATATGACTTCTTTTTTTTTTTACAGCAATACAAAACTAAAGAGAAATACTATTTATGACCATAGTTACAGAATTAAATTGGAGGATTAATTAACTAATTATTAAATGATTTAACAAACTTAAACCAAGCTCGAATAGTTAAGCTATGAACCTTTTCATTTTGTTGCTTCCATATGACTAGCCACACCCACATTGAATCACCGTTCATGTATCAGGAAATGCAAAATGTGCAAGACAATGGTATATTATATTTGATGTGGACTTGTGCAACTAATTTAATAATTAAAAAATCATAGTGTATGGTCTAATATATAAAATTTGCCCATATTCTAAATGCTAGGCTCATAAATATATCTCATTAAACTACATTACAAATACAATATAATAAGCCATAAAAATCATACTACTACATGTGGTGAACACAGCCAAACAAAAATGTTGAAACTTATCAGATAATGTTCCTTGCACTGATTGGACAGGCATGCACCCACCATACAAAATTCAATCCAAACCCTCCAAAAATATATAGAGAGAAAAAAAAAAGTCATATATTCCCATTTCATCTCCAAGATTTTAAACCGTTTAACCAAATCAACGAAATAGAACAACAAAAGAAACAAATATCTCAAATATATTTTTTTTCGGAAGAAAATGCTATGTTTATAATAATTATTATTATAATAATATTTGTTGTTTATATACCATAGAAAGAAAAAAGGAAGAAAAGAAAGTGAAATGAACTCAACGATTGTGGAGTGGATCCGAAGCGTTTGGAACCTTCCTCTTACTGGACATGAAAACATGGAATGACCTCATACTCGTAATCCTACGCTGCTCTTTCTTCACTGCTTCTCTGTCTCTGTTTACAATTACTTCTTGTTCTCCTCCGCTACTCTCGCCGGAAATAATTAGCAGCAGCAGTAGAAAAGCCACCGCCACTGTCGGCACCTTCACGGCGGCGGCCGGGCACTTCTTCAACAGCCGCATCGAGAGAGAGTAGTGGGTTTGTTGGGCAGTGGAAGAAACACGAAGAGAGAATGTGAAATCATAGGCCTTGAAATTTGTGGATTTTTTGCGCTATTGTGGCTCACGAGAGTAATAATGAAATTTTACAATTTCGAAAATTACGTCGACAGGGACACCCACGGGCTACTCTCTTTTCTTTTCTTTTGGTAATGTTGTGGTAAAGACTAAAGACTGTTGTGGGCTTATTTTATATCATTTTTTGCTTGTCAAAACAAACACAAACGCAAAGACAATATCATTTTCAGTGTTCGCCACTTTCCACTCTCTTGATATCAAATTAAGATTTATACATGTTAAAATACTATTTCATTTTTATCCTTTTAATTTTTATCCATTTTCACTCGTGTATTTTTAAAAGGTTTGTTTTTATCTCTATACTAAAGACCAAGAAGGGGTTATTTTTAAAAACTAAAAAATAATTTTAAATTCTTTGAAAATTTTGGCCAAGATTTTGAAGAGTGTATCTAGGAAATGAAAGATTATATGAAGAAATGGATTGTAAACTAGCTTATTGTTAAAGATTGAAAACTAAACATATTATTTAGTCTTTGAGATATACATTATTTTTTATGTCTTAAAAGGTTGGATTTTACCTTTTGAGGTATCAAACATTTTTTATCAAGCCCTTACTCAATAATGCCATCAAATTCGAATAAATGGAACTATGGTTTTGATTTCCAAATATTGCTTAATTTAAGTTAATATTTGTTTTTTAATGTTAAGTAACCCATATCACCCTACTAATTTAAAAAAATTCAATGAACCCTTCTCAAATTATAAATAGAAAATCTACTAAACTCAACTAGCATAAGAAAAGAAATTAAGCTTCGCATGTCCAATTAGAAAAGTGATTTTTTGGAAACATAAAAAATAAACAAGACCATTAATATGAGTTATAAGTTACAACATATGAAGAGCAAAGGACGACCAAGTGGTTCTTCTTGCATTGTTGTTGAATGCATCAAGGAAAAGTAACCAATAAAGAAACCAGATGAGCTTCCATCAAACAAGGGGACACGACCGACCAAGAAGAAGAGGTAACTTTTTGGCAAATTTAACGTTAAATTTTAACTTCTCAAGGAGGACAATATGATTTTCTTAGTTTGAGCCTGAGGAGAGACCTTTTTGAGAGGCTTTTTGTCACAAGTTTGAGGAAGAACATAGCAATAGCATATAGATATCATTGGGTGTTGTGCAATGCTTTTTCAGCTGTCCTTCAAATGGGCAAATCTTGTCGGATGGGTTTGAATTTTTACATTTTCAAGGGGCCTTACAAAATGAAGGACAGATATCCTCCTCTTTCTTTCCTCTCCATTGCTTGAAGCAGACGTTTTTGAGTGGTCAAATCCACGCCTAAACCTAGACCTAAACCCAAACCCCTCTTTCACTCATCTGTTACCATTAGCAATGGTTCTTCCATTGTCCTTTAAACTCCACTGCCACATTATTCCAAAACCGTACCACAATAACAACTAATCCCCCCTTCTGCTTTCTGCCTTCTGTGAAAAAGTGGATTCCTACCCTTCTCTTTCTTTGCAAATTGTCCATTTCTCAACCTCTGCTTTTTTTTCTTGGGATGTTTATGGGTTGTATTAGATTTGGATTCAACACAACTTTTTCCATACTTCACTGTTGTAAATTTGATTGGTTTAAGGGGTTTTAGTTAGATGATAAACAAAATTTAGGCCAATATAACAAAAATTTGGGCCTACTTCCTCATTTGTTATCCAGCAATATAATCGTCCATTACTATATTTGTTACGTTGTTTATCTTTGTTTTTCATAACGGTATCACATTTTTTTATCTTAGGTCTAAGTCTCCATGAGCTTATTTGTGTCCTTTGTTGATCGTTTTTATTTACGTGGGACTATGTCTACATTCTCTAACAAGTTGAATGTTATATCTTTACAATTTTGTCCAACATATATCTTACTGACATCTTTTGAATTTTTGCGGATCTATTAGGGACAAAAGTAAAATATTAAACCTCATATTTGATAGATCTTAAGATTTTTAAAAAAAAAATTTGAATAATTCAAAGATATATTATCCCAAAATTAAAAGCTTAGAAATCTATTAAATCTAAAATTGAAAGTCACGGTTTTAATAGATACTTTTAAAGTTTAGACACCAATAAAAATATTTTTAAATTTCAAACAACCTATTGGATACAAAATTAAAAATACAAGATTATTAAAATTGAAGTTAATTTAATCATTAAGTTTAATGTTTGAAAAAGGTGCAAAAGGCAGGCATGCTTACAAAATAGTTGCTTTATCTTAATCCTAATTAAGAACTGCAATCCCGTCACTTACGTTTCACTTATGACATTAAAAAGATTGTTAAATATTTTAACTCCTTTTGTGGAGCTTCCTAGCTGGGGAGTGGGCTTTTGGTTCTGCCACGTGTCATGGTCGGAATGGGTCATAGTTCCCATTTGAGTCTTCTTATTATTGCTATGGATTCCATACCAGTTAAGTAGTTGAGACATATATTCTTGACCTAATCAAACATAATCTAAACAAATATTAGGCTGTTTTCATATAATATATATTAATTTCAATCATAATGTTCATAAAAAAACGTTTTTTAAATTTTGGTAACAAGATAAAGGAATAATAGGTTGATTGTAAATTTAATTTTAAAAAACAAAATAATTATTAAACGGGTTAATTTCCGGTCATTTTCCACAATAAAAGGTAAAATTGCCCTTAAAAAAAATTCTCTCCCTCCCCTCCTCTCACATCTTGCATTACGAGAATACGAAGAGTCGCATGCTCATATCACTCTTACTCGCAACATTGTCTTACACACAGTTTTCTTATCTATACTCTTCCATGTTTGTGTTAGTAAGGTCTTTTCTTGAATTTTTTCACTTGCAATTCCCAAGTAACACAACACAACAATGTTGTATTGTCTTCCATTTGCACCTCTACTTCTTTTTCTTTTAGAGTACTGTGATATGCTATAAGTAGCGTCTCAATGATATAACCATTTATGCGTCATTGATTCTGTCATGCGTCAATGCTGTAATACTCCAACCAACGTCACGATGTTATTCTCTCAAGTTTTATGTATCTTTATTTTGGCTCCATAATCCCCCAATAGTATTACATCCTACAAATAACATGCAATAACATACACTCCAGTCCAAAATAGTTTACCTAATAAAATAAATAATTAAAATGTAAGAAGGTGTCTACCAACAACCGAGATGAACGAATTAACTACAATATAAGAGAGATTGAGAGAGAAAACAGAGGCAGAGACAGTAGAGATCGAGAGAATTTTAAATTTGAATAGTTTATTGGTTGGATTTGTAAGGTTTATGTAAACAAAGTTCTATATTGGCTAGGGAAGGAAATGATCATGGATATATAGACGAGGACAATTATTTCCACTAGTATAAAGTCTTTTGGGTGAAATAAAAAGCAAAGTCGTGAGAGATATGTCCAAAACAGACAATATTATACCATTGTGGAGATACTCTCGGGGTACCATTATCCTTAATAAGTGATATCAGAGCCATGGTGAAAAATCTAGTTGTGTGGGAGGATTCCTCGGAGGCTAAACAAGAGTGATTGGTAAGCCTAATAGTCATCATGAAACTTGTGGATGGATTTCAAAATCGAATAAAAAGTGCTCAAGGTAGCAAGCAAAGACATGTTTTATGCTCGGGTGACAATCAAGACATGTCCTATCAAGTTAGGGTAGATTGATAAGAAACTTATCACACTCGGGTAGACTAATAGGAAGAGTGAGGTATCTTTGTTCGATGGGAGGAGATTGAAGGTGTGATAGAACGACACCAGGTGTTTCCACAAGGTGGTCCATGTAGCAAGTGCACTATATCTAGACGTTGGATAGAGAGGGGCTCCCATTTTCTGTTGGGAGTAGATGGTTGCATAACTAATCGAGGCAAGATACAAGTGACACTTTGTTCGAGTGGATGATTGTTGGGTTTGTAAGGTTAATGCAAACAAAGTCTTACATTGGTTAGGGAAGGAAATGATCATGTATATATAGATGAGGACAATTATCTTCACTGGTATGAGATCTTTGGTTTGAAACCAAAAGTAAAGCTGGGAGGGCTATGTACAAACCGACAAAATATCATGATGCTAGTCAATTTCAACCGCCCGCCCAATTTGTGTAACAACCAAAAATTTGACTCCACGGCAAAACCTAAAAAGTAATATGTATTTCTAATGATGGCAAGTTAATGGGCCTATTTTGGCCCAATGCTTTGACATGTTTTTTGTTTTGGCTTCATTATCCCAACATCCTCTTCTTCGTACGTTTGTCCATGATTTGGATAGCCAGATACCTGGCTAAGGGATTTTCGCACAAACAGGAAAATTATTTCATCTAATATAGGTCGATAAGGCTGTTGAATCTCATCAATTGCTTGCTTGGATTTAGATCTGAAAAAGATGGAAATTAGAACTTAAAATTGTTTTCCTCGATGGTTAATTGGATGAAGTTTTGCATACATGACATCACCATCAAGCTTCATTCAACTCAGATACAAAGGAATAACGTGTTTGTCAAAACCATCTTTATAGCTAAGACAATCTTTGAGACTCGTACAAACAAAAAGACTTAATTTTTGTTATGAACAGAGGCTTCAAAAGAAATTGTTATGATAATTGAGTTTACCGAAGAATGATTGTTCAAATTTCAAGTTGAAAATCTCATTTTGAGTATTGAATTTGAGATAAAAGAAGAGTTGGGATTCACAAAACAGAGCAAATTTTTGGTTCGAAAATCACCAGAGATTGGAACAACAGTGAAGTTTGTTCTTTTATTAGCAAGAACATAACCAAAACCACTTAGGCATCTTCAATGCACTTTGCTGATCTGATTAAAGAAAGGTAAAAAACAGAGCAAAAAGTTATTGTTTGATAAAAAAAACTCTCTTTTGAGAGAGAACAGAATGACATTTCAATCAGCACCAACACAAAAAGAATTAGCAACAGAAGGCCATGAATGCATTCTTTACTGTTATTCATCTGGATGCAACTTCCAATTTACAGGTAAAAAGGAGTTCAAATTGCCCAACTTGTCAAAATCAAATAGAAACATCTTTCTACTAGTATAAACAATATGGATCCTATTCTTTGGGTCACCAAAATAAGAGCCAAAACCAATTTCCCTTCTTCCCAACAAGTCTGCTGCTATCAATCATCAGAGGGTCAGAATCATGTCTTCATTATAAGCCAGGATCTCTCATATTCTCTTGTCATACTAAATTAGCGAGTAAAATATATCAAATCGATCACCCTTGCACTGATCTAAGCTTCTTCAAAATAGGAAAATGGTATCTCAGGAGGTGAAGGCATCATAGCCACACACTTGAACTGTTCAGAGCAGAAACATAAATCATTAGCAGCAAGAACTTTTAACTACATTATGCTCTATATAACTACAGAGGATAAAGCTTCTTACCCTATGAAGCTTGTATTTTTCTCTCACAGCAATCAGAGATCCTCCTCTTCTGGCCATATACAAGTCATGTAAAAGAATGACACACTGCCTCAGATCAGCTGGCTTGTAGCCCGTGTACTGTTGCAAGTTTTGACTCTGCAATTTACTTGTATATATCAGCAACTTACCTTCCAAGTTCATAGATACATAAAGAAGGGATTGAAACGGGCTTTTACCCAGGGGTGTAACTTCGGCCGGATGATAAATTTAGCAAGATATGCAACTGAAGCAGCTATCAATGAAGGCAAAAACTTGACAAAATTATAGTCCAATAAGCTAAGCTCAGCGAGGTATTGACCCAGAAATTCCAACTGCAAGTTTGGTGTCTGTTCAGAGAAGAGAGCAGGACAGGATTAGTAAAAAGGAAATTCCAAGCTGGTTCAGACCCGGATCAAACCAAAAGGAAATTGGGCTTACTTTGAAATCTTCTTGAGCAATATTAGTAAACCTCCTGTTGAACAAAAGAAAGAAGCAAGCAAAATGAGTCCAATGTATGAAAACCACAATGATGGGATTAACATATTTGTAGATCAGATTTCAGATATATGAGATCGATTACAGTTTAATCAAACTTGCCTTAAGAATGTCTTGACAGTAGGATTCCCCATTTCAAAGTTCAAAGACTTGAGTATATCAGCCTCCATCTTCACAACCTTACAACACCACAAATTCACATCTCAGTACCGATAATCACGCAGCAACAAGAGCCAAATTTATGTTAAAGGTATGAAGGGAAATATTCACCTCTTCCCTTCTATAAGTATTATCTGTTATGTAACAGAAATCTTCCACATGTGGAGGGGTGATCTCTTCATACTTCCTGTTCAATAAAACAAAGTCGAGAATTAACCCATGAGAACTCATAGTCTAGAAACACGAATGACTTCCAATTAGGGAGTGCTTACGAGGCAATAAGCATTGAAGAAACGCCCAACAGCTGAAGCCTTTGCCTACTGAGAATGTTCATAGATAGGAACCTATCGATGTATGAGATGGATAGATACAGAGTATCCGAGCAGAGTTTGTATTCCTCTGCAACCTCAACCATCCAATCTACCAAAACCCCTCTCATATTGGCACTTATGTCCGCCTGAATCTTCTCAATGTAATTTGGAATTGGCCTTCTTTTGGGTTCCGCCTGAAGTGAATCATTAAGTTAGAAACTCCAAAAACAATTTTCAAAATAGATTAGACAATATTGAGACTCAATCTGGGAATCGAATCAGTGATCAATTTAAATACTCAGCAGATGGGTTTGATTTATCAGTGCGAGAGAGGGGTCTTTACCTCCATTTTGCGAAGATAAGCATAGATATCAGAGGAATAAGGCCCCATCATTTCTGGGTCATCCAAGATTTCATCAACGCTCAACTTCGGCTCACTGTCTTCGACAACAACAGTCTTAATCGTCGAAGCAACAGATAGCTTACTTCTCTTCTTGGGCTTGCTGTTACTCTTCTGCGACTTCGCCCTCCTCTTCTGCGCCGCTGATCCAACGACGTTTTGAACGTTGGGAAGCTCTCCCAGAACCACTCGCTTCTTATTGGCGGGCTGATCATCAGCCATGGCGGCAGCCGCAACTCTCTTCTGAGAAGCGCGAGTGACACGGACGCAGTTATCTGTCTCGGCCATTGGGTTGTGATCTCAGCCCTTCGATCTTGCTCTGGTGGGTCGGTAGAAGAAAACGAGAGCGAGAGAGAGATCGGAGGAGAAATTGGTGAGATGGGGAGGGAGGAGTGAGGGGGGGCTTTGTAGTGAGGAATTAGGAAGAAGAAGACCGCCATTTTTTTGGGCAGTGTTTTTCAAAAGCGAAAAACGCAGAAAAACGATTTCGCGCTATCGAGACTGGAGAGAGGGAGGATCGAAATGATTTTGGATTTTGAGTTGAAAAAAGAAGTTTTTAATTTTAATATTTGGGGATTCGTTTTCGTTTCCCGGGTCTTCCCTGTTTCTATGTTTTTGGTCCGAAATTGGACCCGCCATTGTTCCCAAGTTTTTTAAGATTTTGCTAATCTCTCTCTCTCTCCTATCTGGTTTCCCTCTTCGTTTAACGAAGCTCCAATTGGCGCGTGCTCTTCACCCACCCATCTCATTAAAAAAAAAAAAAAAAATCTGGGTCTAAAATCTAAATGAATTCATCAAATATATATTACCCACTTTTCTTTTTATGAAATTTAGTTATGTCTAAATATAAAAAAATAAATTAATTGATTTTGCCCTTTTGTTTATACAAAATTTATTTATAGATTAACGGTAATTTGTCTTTCTTCCAACAATTTAAACTATAATTTTACTCCTTGTGTTTTTCTTTTTCAATTTTTATGTTTTTATTCATTTATTTATCTTCGATGTTTGGTGGTTTGTTAATAATGGAGTTAAATAATAACTATAAATCTTTTTTTTTATGGGTCGTAATTTTGAACTATAATAAAGAAGTATGCTTAACTACTATAAAAAATTACTATATTTATCCCTACATTAAGTCATGCTAGTTTATTTGAGTTGTTTTTAATTAATGTTAAGTTTAAGTTTATATATTTATGAAAGTGTAGGAATAACAAATGAAATTATAAGGATAAAATGTCAAAAACGAGAGATAGACAAAGAAATAATCAATAAAATACATTGTATTTTATATTTTTATTTTATTTGAAATTTTGATCTCACTACTATAAATATATTTAATTTACTTTTACATATAAATTTGAAATTTTAGATTAAAAATCAATACATACTCTAAAAAAATGTAATGAACAAAAAGGAAAATACGATTCATGAAAAAAAAAAAGGTGGATAACTACAAAGTTTTATTATTAATATTATTATTCTAGGATGGGATAGCTAGAAAGTTTGGCTAATATATTAAAATAAAATAGAAATAAAAAAGTCTGGGAGTAGTGTTTTATTCCCGGGCAAATTTGGGTGTTTTATTTCCAGGGGAAATTTAGAAAATGGACACAACCGCCATTAGCCATAATTTTAATTTGGTGAAGTGGCAAAATTTGGGATTGCGAAAAGCGAACGAGGCAACGACCAAATTGGTTTCCCTCTTCATCCAATTTTAGGATGAATTTGACTGTTGACGCGTGCATCACACCGTAAAAAATAACAAGGAAGATTGATTTAACTTGCCTCTCACGTTAGTGGGTCTACTGTTTTACGCAATTCCATATATTTTTATTTTTTTTAACGGCGGCGTTGAAAATATATATAAATTATTATTAAGTTACGTTCGCTTTAACCGTAATTCTATATCTTTTATCAACATATATATTTCCTAGGAACTTAAGGGATGTAGCATTACAATATTTGCATAAATGTTGTTCTTTATAATATATTATGATTATTGATTATTGATGAATTGTGATTCAAATATAATTGATTTTATTTTTTGTATTTGTAATGCTTAATTATTTTATTTGTAGAGTCTAATTGTTAAATGGATTTGGTTCACGCATAAGAACCATTTTGAAGGCGTATGAATATGAATATCATTGTGTTAACATGGAGGTGTATTAACTTTAGATGTACACAAGAGCATTGCCATAATGGAAAAGTTCCTAATAGTACTCTATTTTGGGAGTAGCGAGAAATAATTGTTCAAGAGCGGATAAACATATCACTTTTCCATCACACCTATCTAATGTTGCAACACAAAATTGAAATCTCAGTCTCTGCATACAGACATTCAATAACTTGTTTATAAATCCTCATAAATGTATGACACTTTGATTATGAAGTTTTGACTTTTGACTGCGAGTAATAGCATCGAGCCTTATCAAGCTCGACAAGACACATTTTGTAAGAACATAAAGACATGTATATCTTCTCCCTTATTTCATTATATATATTGTGTCTACTTCATGCTGATTGTGAGACGCATGGTCGCACACTAAAGCAGAATGAGACGTATTGTGGTTCCCGGTATGGGAAAGTAAGTTTATACTTCATTCTTTGGACTCTTACGTTAGTTACAATGTTTTATTGCAAATCGTCGTAGAAAATTTTGAGTTCGATTGATTGCTAGAAATCTATTTGAATGTAGTGAATAATTTTCTCGAACGATATTGACTTACCTTAAATTTTGTGATAGTTCTTATGATTTGTTTCCATTCAAACAATTGCATCTATCTAGCAACTAATTGCTAAAGAAGATTGAAATTGGTATCATTGGATGACATACTTGTCATAGTGATAGTGCGGAGTTTAACTAAAATCCCTTCAACTTAAGGTTTGTTTACCAAACAAAATTTAATGAAGATTCTCCAGGGAAACTTATCATTCAGTTGATTTCTATTCTGCTCTTTTGTTGTTTTGTTACAACATTGTATACCCTTTATAATGAATGTTATCAATCTAATTTACTTGGACATCACACTATTATAATATTATTTACTGTTTCTGACTTTTGAGTTGCTATCCAAAAAGTATATTAGGGGTGAAATTCAAGTATCCCTGAAAGTTACGCTTCTACGTTATTTGATAATTATCCGTATTAGAAAATATGGGTGGTTACACATTTTTTGAGAAGTATGCTAGCTTTCTATCATGTTGAAACTTTCATCAATGTCACGTCAAACTTTACTAAGTATACAAAATTACACCGTTGCTTATATTTCTCTAACGCAATTTCTATTGTTTTATATTTATTAAGTATACTACGCAGCTTCAAACTCCCCTAATTATGTAATGTGAGATTAAAAAAAAAAGAGAGAAACAAATGAGAAATCTATGTGGGTTTCAGCATAGAATGTCTAGCATTTTGAAGTCTTGAAAGAGCATCCTTCATAGTGATGCGTGTATCAGCAGAATCAGCAGCGCAAGAGAGTCCAATATTGATGACTTCTATCAGGCAATTGATCATTTGCTTATTTTCACTAATCTCTTCACCTTCTTCATCAGAAGAATCAACCATTTGCACCATTAAATCTCTTAGATAACTCGTACGAACCCACTTACTTAGATTTACATCTCCTGTAAAACCTTCATGGGTTGGACTCTTCCCAGTAAAAAGCTCCAACAAAGTTATCCCAAAACTGTATACATCTCCACCCATTGTTGCCTTTCCTCCCATGCCGTATTCTGCAACAAAATTTGAATATTACTTCTCAAGTTTTGGAGCAAAAAAGAATTGGAAAAATTGAATGGTAAACCACAAACCTGGAGGAATGTAACCAATGGAACCTTTAAGAACATGAGAAGAAGTAGTAATGGAAGAAGAATAATGGGTGGATAATTCATTTGCCATCAACAACCGGGCCAACCCAAAGTCCCCAACTTTTGCTGTCATATCTGCAGCCAGTAGTATATTACTTGGCTTCAAATCACAGTGAACAATTGGCACTTCAGAGCCATGGTGGAGATACTCCACCACACAACCAACATCAATGGCAATATTCAATCTCTCCATAAAATCCAGCCCTTTCCCATCTGAGTGACGCCTCTGCCCATGAATCCACTCCTCCAAACTTCCATTACTCAAAAACTCATAAACCAGAGCTCGAAAATCCCTGCCTTGGAAATCTATACTTGAGCAGGATGTGACGAGTTTCACAAGATTCCGATGCCTCACGTTTCTCAAGGCCTCACACTCGGCCAAAAAACTCCTGATATACCCTGTTCTTTCGATGTTCAAGACCTTGATTGCAACGCCCCCATCCCCATGTCGTAATTGATTTAGATTCCCCTTATAAACCCACCCAAAACTTCCCTTGCCCACCAGATTTTCATCGCTGAAATTTGCAGTGGCGGTTCGAATCTCATCGTATGAGACCATTTCGTGTTGGGTTTTCATCAGCTGATTAGTTGGGGATGAAGAAGTCTTTGGGTTTTTCTTCCTGGCCAGGTGAAGCCAAGTTCCCAATGTGAAACAGAGTACTAATGTTGTTGAGAAGACGACTGCCAAAGCAATGATTTTGTTTCTCCTTTTGTTATTGGGTTCGCTCTTTACACAAGCGGAAGACAAGCAAAGCTTTGGGTTTCCTTCTAAATAGACTCCTGGAATGGTCTTAAAAGCTCCACCTTCAGAAAGCACTTCCCCTTCGAGGTCGTTGAATGAGAGATTCAAAAATTGAATGGCGGTTCGATTTTGGAGATTCTCAGGGATGGGGCCCGAGAGTTTGTTGGAGGAAAGGTCTAAAGTTTGCAGCCCCATAATTTCACCAAGAGTACTTGGAATTTGACCTGAAAATTCATTCTTCGCCATTTTCAATACCTCCAAGCTCTTGCACCCACTGATGGAAGGAGGGATATTGCCGGAGATCAAATTTTCAGAGAGATCAATTCTTTCAACATTTCCGAGGAACCCAATTTCTTCAGGCAAATTCCCACTAAGCATGTTGTTGGAAAGATTCAAAATCATGCTCAAACTAGGAAAATTCAGAGCCTCTTTGGGTATCCTCCCACTGAGCTTGTTGTTGGACAAGTCCATCGCCAGCAAGTTCGTGAAGTTCCCAAAAGAGACAGGGATGTTCCCAACAAAATTGTTCCCCGACAAATCAATGTGGTTTAACTTTCTAAGATTCCCCAAGGAGCTTGGAATTCTACCAAAGAATCGATTTTTAGCTAACCCCAGAAGTTGTAACTGCTCCAATTGGCCTATTTCAGGTGGGATTTCACCAGATAGCAAGTTTTTGTTCAAATTCAGCAAAGTTAAGCTGCGAAGATTCCCAATTGAAGATGGTATATTCCCATAAATTCGATTCCCTCCCATGTACAATCTCGAAAAGACTTTAGAAAGATTTCCAATGGATTCAGGGATCACGCCTTCTAAATAGTTTTCATCAACAGCAATGAAGGTAAGGCGAGAGCTGTTGGTCAAAGAAGAGATGAAATCAAGCCCATTTGGACCAGAACTAACGATCTTGTTGTGGCCAATGTAATACATTTGGAGATTAGGTAAATTTTCCAAACCTGATGGAATGGTGCCCTCGAAAAGATTGTGGGCGAAGCGAATGATTCGTATTTGGGTCATATTGTGCATCGACTGAGGAATTGTTCCTGAAAATCTATTGAAGCAGAAATTGAAGAACAGGAGATTTGGTAGATTGTCACCAAAGTTTTTCGGGAATGTACCATGGAGACGATTTGCCGCTATTATCAGAGTAACCAGAGAAGACATGTTGTAAATGCTGGGGGGGACAATGCCACTGAAATTATTGATGGAGATCATAAAATCCTTCAAATTTGGAAGACGACCCAATTCAGGAGGAATCGAGCCACTCACAGAATTGGTCCCTAAATTGATGGTTATAAGGGAAGAAAGGTTCCCAAAAGATGGGGGAATTGTACCATATAGATGATTCTGTCCCAAGTTCAAAACTTGGAGCTTCCTCAAGCGGCTGAATTCTTCTGGAATTTGGCTTGTGATTCTGTTCGACGTCAAGTCTAGAATCTCAAGCTCTGCCATACCACTTATGTTGGAGGGGAGGCCACCTCTTATGTAGTTGAAGCTCATATTCAGAACTTTGAGGTTTAAAAGATTGCCGATTTGATCAGGAATTGGACCTGTTAATTGGTTGTTCTGAAGTTGAAGAAATCTGAGGGAAGAAAGATTGCCAATTTGGCTATGTACAGACCCAGCAAGAGCCAAGCCAGAAAGATCAAGCCCAATTACTCTGTGGCCATCTTCGTTGCATCTTATGCCGGTCCAGTTGCAAGGCCATGAATTTGGATCATCCCAAGAAGATAAAGGGTCGTGAAGTTGAAGATTGCTGAATCCTGACTTGAGGGAAATCAAGGCGTTTTTGTCTGCTTCAAGGCTCGAGATGGAGGATCCATTGGTGAGAAATATCGAACCTCTAAAAGCTAGAATGACAAGAAAAATGAACCGAACCAGTGATGGAGGAGAAACAGCTGCCATTTTAATGGAAGAGGAAAGAAGAACTTGCAATTCATCTCTTAATATTATTATAACTTATAACTCTTGCAAATCATCTGTGTTGATTGTGATTTGTACGACTTTTTTGAATGTGTTCGAAAGTCTTCGAATTTGGCGAGCTGAAAATATTGATAATTCAACCCATTTACACATTTATATGTTTGTAGTTGCTGAGAGGTCATTTCAATCGGAAGAGTGTGGCTATAATTTATCCTTTTTCAGTTGGAAAATGGAATTGGCGTTTGGTTATTGTTCTTTTACCTTTGATGAAAGTCAATTTTGTCGTCTAAGAGTGGATGGAATGTTCACTAGAAGTGGGAGAGATTATAGCCCA